CATCACAGATTGAATATCCTCGTCACAAACTACAATGATATAACATACTCCTACGAATTGAATATTTCTTGAGTATGTCTGGCTGAATTAGAGACATGTCTATTTTAGCATTGATATCACAAAATTTTCTTTTCTATCGAGTTGTCACCGACGGCGTGCCACCCAGAAAAGTTGCCTTTCATGTACGTGTTATGACTGAAGTGTTCCCCTTCAGTCATAAGACGAAACAAACAGAATAAGATACACTCCTTTCTAGTACAGTGGTTAATACGACTGCCCGGAAAGCAGGAGATGCATGGTTCGATTCCATGCGAAGGGAGATTATTCTTTTGTTCTGTTCTGTAATACCATCACGTTGCTGTCTCGGTGATAACAAAGTAAGAAAGAAAGAAAGAAGACGTAACAGTACGGATAAAAATATGAGCCATGTGCTGATAGGAGACAATTTTTTTCTTCTCGCTGGATTAGACATATAGTTCGCTATTTCAGCTGCATAATTCAAAGAAAATAAAAGCAACGCGCTGTATTATATAATTGAAAACTATTTCATCTATCGATAAGATGCCTAAAGGTCATGATTTCTCGCTTGACGCGAAGCAAATAATGTTTAATGTGATCAAATTTGTAAAACGTGAGAAAGATGGTTATTTAATTCCGTTGAATAATGTAAATGATCGTATTAAATCTATTCTTGGTATTTCAATGTCGTCAGTTGAAAGACTGAAGAGAGAAATGAGAGAACAAGAAAGAGAGATGTTAGAAAAACAAAACGAATTGATTCAGTTACAGAAGAAGCTGGATCAAGAAAAACAAGATAAAGAAGATGCGGCGATTCGAGCTACTCTTCGGCTTCGAAATCCACGTACCAGATCATCATCATCATCATCATCATCATCATCGTCGTCGTCAGTAACCGCTGCATTCAATTCCACTTTGACAACATTTATGCCTGTTGCTAAATCATCACAAAAGCGTGGTCATTCCGGTCGTCCTCCTATCATCTTGACAGAAAATCAAAAAGAAAATGTTCGGTAAGCACACTCACCAGAATAAACTGTTTAATATATGTACACTGTTTATAGTTATCACGTTCATCTGATGTTGGCTGAGCGGATCTACCCAACAGTAGATAAAGTTCTCACTCGAATTTTGAGTGACGAACCTGATTTTCCGATCTGTTCGACATCGTCATTATGGCGGTGGATGAAGAAGTTAGGTTTTGCGTATAAAAGAACATCGAAAGTTGTTGTTCCTCTTGATTCTCCGTTCTATATGGCAGCTCGTGCACGTTACTTTTCGAAAATCGATGAACTGCGAAACAATGGAACAGTCGTTTTTTGGCATGATGAAACGTGGTGTAATCAGAACGAAGAAAAAACCTTCGTGTGGACTGATAGAGATACTGGTGCTGGTCGTTTACGACAGAGTAGTGGCAAAGGTACGATTTTTCTTTCTTAAAAGTTACTAATAGCTTTTTTTCTCCACAGGGTCACGTCTTGTTATTTCTGCGTTGATGGGTAATTCAGGTTTTCATAGATCATCTATTGATATATTTAAAACTACTGAAGAAAATCGTATGGACTCATCACATTTTTTGGCATGGATCGATCGTACTGCTTCTCTTCTTCGAAAAGAATTCGGTAATAATCGCTTTTTTGATCCCAATTGTTACGTTTGAGTTTAGGAAAATATACCAAAATCGTTTTCGTAATCGATAATGCTCCCTGGCATAATCGACTGACAAATGATACAATGCCACCAAAAAGATCGTGGCGGAAAGAATATATTGTACAATGGCTCAATGATCACAACATAAATGTTCCTGTTAAAGCTGTGAAAGCTGAATTACTTGAGATTGCTATGAAAAATCTACCAGAAAAACGATATGAAATTGATGAAACAGCTAAAAAATACAATGTTGACATCTTGCGGTAAGTTAACTTTATAGCTGTCGTAAATCTTATACATAGTATTTACAGCTTGCCTATTAAACATTGTATGCTCAATCCGGTGGAATTGGCCTGGGCAGGTCTGAAGCAGCATGTATGAGATCACAATGTCAATTTTCGCCTTAGCGATGTTCGACACTTAGCACAAGAATGGATGTTGAACTTGAAAACAGCTACAGTTACGACTTACCTCAACCACGTTTACAAAATCGAGGAAACGTTCAAAAAATCCGATGTTTTCACTGAGCAACTCGAAGAAGGCTTAGTAGATGATGATGATGGCGATGAACTTGATTCCGAGCGTGAAGAAACGACTGGTTAATTAAAAAATCTATTTTTTGTTATTGTTTCGTGCTGCCAACTATTGATTTGATAATAACTATGTCCTAATCCAATATACTCAAGAGATATTTAACTTGTAGGATTATGTTATATCATTGTAGTTTGTGACGAGGATATTCAATCTGTGATG